TTAGCTAGTTGGCTTGGAGAGAGTGTTTGCTGGCAAAACCCCAACATAAGTAACCTTGGGACTGTAGGAAGGAAATGCTCTTTTCTGTATAAGTGCAATATTCTCTACATAAACTTCCAGGTTGTATCTAGCTGTTAACCCAGCAACTGTTTAGATTTTTCCAGCGAACTAAATTTAATTTCCTACTGAACTCCCCAAAATTTAGGCAAACAGGCCCCAGTCCCCCACTCTGAGTACTTCTTGATCTTACATACACTTATCAAGCCCATCTTTCTATGAATCCACAAACATTATTCGGACGAAGGCAACAAACTCACTTTTTAGCTATGCATGTTGTGTAACACGTGGCCATATTCACCTTACGTTCTTGGTTACAGTAATTCCCACTGTATGCTAGGAACATAGGAAGCCGCCCTATTCTGAGTCAGACTACATTCCATCTAAACTCAGTGCTGTTCTACAGTGACTGACAGCAGAAGTCCAGGATTTCTGACAGGGGCCCCTCGCAGCCCCTAACTGTAGGTGCTGGGACTGAAACACGAGACCTTCTGTGTGCAGAGCACACATTCTGCCCTTCCCTAAAAGAAGGATGTATATTTGAAAAATTAATTAGCACATGCATCAACACACTTTGTCCCCTTGAACTGGGGATCCAGTACGTTTCTGAGCACAATTCAAAGTGTTGGGTGTTGACCTTTAAAGCCCTAAACGGCCTCAAAGCCCCAGTAGACCTGAAGGAGCGGTCTCCACCCCCATTGTTCTGGCCCGGAACGCTTGAGTCCAGCGCCGAGGGCCTTCTGGCGGTTACCTCATTGCGAGAAGCAAAGCTACAGGGAACCAGGCAGAGGGCCTTCTGGAAGTGGCACCCGCCCTGTGGAACACCCATCCCACCAGATGTCAAGCGATCAACAACTAACTGACATTCAGAAGACATCTAAGGCAGCCCTGTTCAGGGAAGTTTTTAACGTGTGACATTTTAGTGTATTTTGGGTCTCTGTGGAAGCCACCCAGAGTGGCTGGGGAGAACCCAGCCAGATGGGCGGGGTACAAATAAATGATGATGATGATGTAGTGTATGAAGCACTAAGAATAAGAAACACACAATTAGTTCCAGTTGGACATTTTAGGCCTTTTAAGCTGAGGAATATGTTGCTAACAAAATTTCCTCATATGTAACCTGTAGGTCCCACCGAGAAGTGGTTCCTGCACACACAGTCTATGCCCTCAATATTGAAAGGATCATCTTGAAGCTCTGGCACCCAAACCACGAGGAGCTGCAGCAGGACAAGATCCATCGGCAGCGGCTGGCTGCAAAGGAAGGACTCCTCACATGCTGAGGCAGAAGCAGTGGCCAGTGCTAACGATCGGCTGGGCTGGTATCTCCTGGACCTGCCAGTTGGGCATTTTGACTTTGGGATCACAGGACTTGCATTATTGTGCCAGCTTTCCCAAGTGGAAATGTGGACTTCTTTCCTATGGAAATATTACTTGAGAAACCAGAGTGCTTTGTGCTTGCTTCTAGAAAGGATAAAAGAGCAGTGCCTCAGCAATGCGTATGCTTTTGCCTAGGCACCCTCTTTTAATCACAGTGCACGGCAGTCATTCCAAAAATAGTTTTGTGTCACTGTGGAAAAGGAAAGTGACATGGTTTGCTGTGGAGAACCTGTTCCTGTTATTATTCCCTTCATGGAATGAAGGATTGTGGCCAGAGATTGACAGAGGCTGGTTCTTAGAGTTGCCAAGTTTTAGGGCTGCAGTTTGAGCCGCTGCCCTGGGCTGCTTTTGCAACTATAGCAAAGAGCTTTGTACATAGCAAAGAGCTTTTGTGTTGGGTTTATATAATGTATGACAAAAGGGAAAAATATTGATCCACATTAATAAAATCGGCTGTAAGACAATTCTCATAAAAGAGAATCTTTTTATCTCATTTTTTTGTTTCAAATTTGAGTTTTGTTCACATAAAACATCAACAGCCAGTCTCCCAGCTACTGTCAGAGTGGCAAATCACCAATGCATTCCCTTGAACATGAATTTTTCATTACAGTGTTGCTGAAAAGTAATTTAAGCATAGAGAGTTCATAAAACCAAATGTGCTAGACTGCCCCAAATTAGCCATGTTGCCTTTCAGCACTATTGTTAGATTTATTTGCAAGCAAGTCTCACTGATTCCAATGGAACATGCTTCCATCAGCCTTTCAGCCCAAACCTTGTGTATGTTAGCTCAGCAGTAAGTGCCACTAAGTTCAGTGTGGCTTAATTCTCAGTACACATGCATAGAATCAAAAGTTTTGCTCTTGATCCCCATTAAACAGGTGAGAATTTGAAGCTTGGTAATAGTGACTTGTTGAAATCCATTTGCACTGGTGTCATGTAGTAGCTAATAGACTTAACCTGGGATAGCTCAGTCAGTAGAGCATGAGACTCTTAATCTCAGGGTCATGGGTTTGAGTCCCACATTGGGCAAAAGATTCCTGCACTGCAGAGGGTTGGACTAGATGACCCTCAGGGTCCCTTCCAACTCTACAATTCTGTGATTCTGTGACTGAGTTACAAATGAAAATGTTCCTGGTTCAAATCCCACCTCAGCAGTGAATACTCTGGGTGGCCTGAGGCAAGCTACACACTGAACCCTCTATTTGCAATATGGGGATGTTAACCAACTTGCCTTTCAGGCTATTGTAAGGATTACCCGCTAACGTGCATGAAGCTCTTTGAACAAGCCCCCTACACAGGCTTTGTTTGTTTGATAGCATGACTAAACTGGAGTTTGAACCGGGACCTGAGCCATGCTAGATCTCCAGTGCTACTTTGGATTCTATGTCCAGTAAGACTAGTATAAATTTTATTTCTTCTGATGTGAAAAGGAGGACACAAAAACGATGTATCCTAGACTCAGGGTCTGCTAGGAGGCTGCACCCCTCTCTCCTGGGAAAAACACACTACTGTATGGGAACCCAAGTGTTTTTCTCTCGTGACTGAGCACTCTTCTGCTGTTGTAGGTGGTGGGGTCTGTTCTGTGGTCATCTTCTGAAATGGTGAGTGTGTCTCAAGCAGACAGAGTTGCTCCTAAATGCTCCCACTTGGCAGTGCCTTGGCAGTGCCTCATGGCCAACAGCTGGCATGAAGTATTCCTCACTTCTTGAGACAGTGCATGATCAGAGAGCAGGATCATGCCAAACTAGCTCCCTGTCACACTCTCATCCTGTGACATCAAGTACTGATTATTTATTCTATTTATTTATTTATTCGCCACTCTCCCGCACTCAAAAGCAACTTACAAAAAATAAATGGCATTTCCGTGCGCCCTGGTTTCTGTCACGGTGTCCCGTTGTGCCGGAAGCGGTTTAGTCATGCTGACCACATGATCTGGAAAGCTGTCTGCAGACAAATGCCAGGTCCCTCGGCCTGAAGCGAGATGAGCACCACCACATAGTCGCCTTTGACGACTCAGATCTCTATCTATCATCTAGCTAGCTAGCTAGCTATCATCTATCTATCTATATCTGTATCATCTATCATCATCATCTCAGATCCACCTCTGTCCCACCCACTAAAAGATAAGGTCTGGATGAATAAGAATGTTTTGACTAGCACCAGAGAAGGTCCATTCTTGTGTTGTCACCCTTTGTACCTCCCTTGGAGGGGGCACACAAATAAGGGCCTCAAATGATGGGTGGCATGCCAGGGCGGGGAAGGGAACTGCTTGGTGTGCATTGGCTCTCGGATATTGCCGGAGTGGTGTTCTGCTTTACCACATCTGGCACCAGCTAAGGCTGCACACCTTTCGTGCTGAAGGGGCCAGTGGTCATGCAGTTGTGCCTGCACTAGCATCCCTGGGTTTGATTCTATGCCCTCCAGCAGCAGAACACAAGAGAACAACAGGAATGCAAAATGGTTGTCATTACTAGTGGTAGCTGTCAATGTTTGCATGTCTAGGTTTATTAAGAACATTCAAATGGATGTAAAAACACGAGTGGTTTCACTGGAATGCCCTCAGTTTTGTAACTTTAAAGATGTGTAGAAGAAAGAAGAAAGCTAAGGAGGGGTGCCAGGTAAGCCCCACGCCACAAACTGATCACAAGACACAGCGCACCCCCCCCATTTGAATAGCAATGCCCATCAACTTGGGGAGGGGGGCGAAGGGACCTCAGCCCCCTAGGAGTTTGGCAATGGCAGTCACCCCTTCTCCTTTGCCCCTAGGCAGCCCCTGGGACAGAGAACCTTACCTTACTTCAGCCCTTCTCTGGGGCCTGCCATAGTGAGAAAGAAGGGAGCGCTCTATGCCACTGCTTCGCCCGACCCCTTCCCTCCCTTGCTAGAGAAGGGAACGGCAGGGGTCTGGCCTTGCAAGCTGAGCTGAAAGAGGCCTGCACCTTAGAAATGGGTCGTGGGGTACATGGACCTGTCAGGGTGCCAGCTGCTCACGGCGTGGATTGTTTCACAAACTATTTCAGGGTTTTTTTCCATCGTAAGCCAGTTCACATGATGCAGATTTTAAAGAAATACTTCATAAAACACCACACGCCTAGTATAAAAGCAAATACAGATGTTCTACAACAATCAATGGTTCTGGGGCACTAATTGCTCTACTTGGAAGGCATAAATTACAGCAACAGTGAAATTTAGAACAAAGGTCCCAGATCATGCACGTTTTATCAATCCGATTTATAAAACCTTGTTTATATTGCCTTTATCTGCCTCCCTGTCCAGTTCTCTTCCCCTTTCCTGTTCCCCTTTTATTTGATTATTAGCATATTTATGCTAGTAAGTACTGTGAACACTGCTATAGAGCTTTAAAATGCTATATGTGTGTGTGTGACTAATGGAAAGCTATTATTATATTGAAACTTAATAAATCCTTCAGGATTTTACTGACTTTGCCCCACAGATTCAGAGAAGGACTGGGTTGTCCATAATTTGCCAGGCTAAATGCTGTCCATGCTTGCTTAAGGAGTCTTGAGTCAACAGCAGCTAACTTGGGAAATGCAAAAAGGAAGGTCCCCTCTTTGCCTCCTCTTTGAGGTCTGTGCCTGTCCGGCTAATGCTCCTTCGCTCAGAATCACCACATGGGCCGTGATTGGCCAAAGGGGCTGGCTGGGAGTCAAGGCAGCCGCTATATATTCCTGAAAGGAAGCCGGCTGCTGCGTTCCAGACGGAGTCTCAGCCTCCTCACACACAATCTTCTTGGCATCAAGGACACAATAACCACACGGCAAGATGTGCAAAGGACTAGCTGCCTTGCCCCACACATGTCTGGAGAGGTGAGAGAACCAGTTTGTCTCTTTAAGCAGGAAAATTAATGGGTTGATGGGCTGAAAAGGAACACAGCAGCCTTTTCTCAGAAGGAGAGTTAGTGTACATTGAAGACAGAAAATATATCCCTAGCATGTTAGGATGTTCTCCTGCTCTCATTCATTTCAGTGCAGATTGTGCAGGAGAAGTGCCAGGTGGTGTCAGGATGGTATAAAATGAGTTTCATCAACACAGTAAAGAAATAATGTGGCTTAACAGAACAGAAAAGTATAATTAACAGAGTTAATTTGTTTTCTATTATGCATGTATGGAACCAGAAAGCTAATTAAATTTTGGAATTATAGAGGTGAACTCTTATTTTGAAGAATGCCATAGAAGGTTCTGTTAAGGCAAAGCAAGAATGTGAAGAGTGAGCTGAGTTCTCCGCCGTCTCTGCTTCCCCACCCAAACTACCTTTTAAAAACTTGTTTTTATCCCAGTAGGATTTATTTCCATTTTTAAACCCATACTGGGAGGGGAAAAAATGTCTTAATAGGAGTTTTCTTGAGAGCAACTGTGGGTGGGGAGAAGGCTTAGCTCTTACTCTGTTCATCTTTAATGCATTTTAATTCTCCTTTGCACACACACACACATTCTACTTTATATGGATTTGATACAGGTCCCATTCTGCACATGGCCTGCTTTTAATTTAGCCCTAAGGCATGAGCTGAATGATAATGGCCTTTGGAAATATACTGTGCTCCTTTAAGCCTCAGTTGGCCATCTGAAATATCAGGATAACAATACTGAAATAAATATATTAAGATTTCCATTAAACCGAATAACAGCCATTAAACCAAATAACAGATGAGATAACGGTATAAACATTTATTTTATAAGCAGCTGATAATAACCTTAGAGATTCCAACTGAAAACAAAAGCAAAGAAGCGTCTTTGTCTCTTGATGAAACACATCGAGGCCTGAATGTTTCCAGATTTGCTGCTTGCTTACAAGGTTTCCTTTTCCAAGAGTTTACCCCTCTGGGTGAATCCAAACCATCAA